CACCCGGACCGGTTCCGGCTCCGGGTCGACCGGGTCTCGGGTCGACCCGCCGGGCCGGTCCGGGTCACAAAACACTGCTTCGTGCAGATAAATTAAAAATATAAAAAATAAATGAAGAAAAAAGGAAAAAAGAAATTCATGGAACAACTTATATGCGTGTATATATATATATACATATATATTATATATACAGATTCCTTCATCAAAATACAAACTACAACATACGTATCTATATTTTTTATATTTTTTTTCTTTTCTATTTTCATAGATATCTTATCAATTTTAAGTATCATTCACGGAACCAAAGCATCAACAAACGCCCACATTTAACAATAAAACAAAATAAAAGGACCAGAAACGAAATAAACAAACTTTCAACATGCCATCGTATTTTGCCGCTTCAATTCCCGGTAGAACCTCATAATGAACTTTTCCGCCGCCTCGTCCACCCGGCCGTCGTCCTCCTCCGCCTCCACAACCGGAAACGGAGAGTCCGTCACCCTCAGCTGTCTCACCTCCGGCGTCCGCCTGACGATCTCCATCGCCGCCGCGAAAAGCTCCTCCTCGTCCGGCTCCACCGCCGCCCGCGGCGGCGACGGCGACCGCTTCCGCTTGTTCAGCCGGAACGGGAGGCGGAACGCCTGTTGCTGCGGCGTGTTGCTGCAGCTGAACTCGTACTCTCCCGACGGGATCTGGCGGTCTCCGCCGTCGGAGCCTCCGTCCTCGTCTCCGGGAGGGTCTCCGACCCCGCCGGGAAACATGATGTTCTGAATGGTGGATTTACCGGCGATTTTGCCGCGTTTCATCGCCGCGGTGAGATCTGCCAGCAATTTCGGCTTAGAAATGTTTTTCCGGAGCACAAAATAGGCGGCGCGAAGAACATGCCAGAATTTATCGGCCGCCGCCGGAAAATTGTGCTCCGATTTCCGGTGGGACTTTCGCGGCCGAGGGTAGGCTGCGTTGTGCTTGATGATTGAGGTGTGAAGGGATAATTTGAGGAGAAAGTCCTGAAAAGTGATAGAATCCATTGTTTTGTGTTGAGGAAATTATTTGTGGGATGATTATGGGGCTTTATTTATAGACGGAGGATTGAGGTTGAATAGGTGTTGTACGTTACGGTTTGCGAATAGGTATTGAAAAAACAATATTATTTTAATATAAAAATATTATTATTATTTTTTTTCATACAGAAGGAATTTGATAGGGGATCAATAACATTTGGTAAGTAATAGAGTAAAAGGATAGTGGAAAACGAGACGCAAAATAAGAGAGTGAGTATAGGTGCATCTTAGTGAATTTTTATCCTAAAATTAATTGATAGTTGAAGGAGTGGCACTAGATCAATAAGTTAGACATATTTTTTCTGTACAAAAGATACCAGTACAATACTCGTGTACTACACGGGTATTGTTAAGAAAATTATTTAAAAATTAAATAATAATAATTATTACTTAAAATTAAATATATGTACTTATCAAACTAAGTTGAGGTTTTTATAGAAATTAATGAGCTAATTGAGAGCTTCCAAAATAAATCAAGGTTATATTAGTCAATCAGTATAATTACCAAAGGTTCCCATACAACATAAGGATTATATTAGTCAAACTATTATAGATTACCAAGTTAGTTTTCCAATATTTATGGAATGTCCGAACCTGTAATTATTATTTAGAATAATATTATTTTTTATCCAGACCAAACTACGAAGCATGTTTTTTCGCCAAGTAGGATTCTGAAGCGTGCGAGGCTTCCACTTAGACTCAGCGCATTCTGCAATTATAAATAGAGGGGATGTGACAACTCACAAGTGATACTTTTGTGAGTCTAATGTGGGACGACAATTCGCAAGTGATCACAAGTGATATTGTAATATGCTCCCTCACTTGTAATCATTCATACGGAGCCCACGCCCATAGAACAGGCCGGCTAACGGGTACATCATCGCAGGTCCCATGTATGGCCTACTCTGGTACCATAAAATAATCGGGAGAAATGGGTGCGGCAGGTCCCACGTAGGCCCTGTGGGGCAAATGTGAGACAACTCGTAAGAGATCACAGATGATATTCTAATACGTCTTCTCACTTGTGAGACCTTCATACGAAGTCCAACCCACAGAGCAGGCCAGGTAACAGGTCCTACGTAGACTCGCCCTCTCACTTGTGACTCCTTCATACAAAGCTCAGCTCACAGAGAATGTCGGGTAACAGGTTGTCATCGTAGGTCCCACGTAGGCTAGCTTTGATACCATGAAAGAATCTTGAAAAACAGGTGCGGCAGGTTCCACGTACGCCCGCTCTGATACCATGAAAGAATTGGAAGAAACAGATGCGATCCCATTCACGTGAAGCGCACCATAAGATGATGACCTAGGCGCATCTCAGTGATGTTTCATCCCAAAATCAATTGGTAGTAGGGGAAGTAACCCACTAGGCTTATAAGTTAGGTCTAATTTCCGTATATAAACGATGTGTGACAACTCACAAGTAATATTCTAATATAGCGAATTGTTGCTTCTACACATCTAGCTTCCTAAAATTAAGGGTTATATTCCAAATATATAAATCATATTTCAACTATTCGAAATATCAAAAGGATTTGGACTATGTTGTAACTTTTTATCCAACCAAAATATTTTGTACAGAGGTGAGAGTATGAGCTTCTAATATTAAGCTCGGGCTCGACTTTTTGGACTCGTAAACTATTCGAGTTAGAATTCAACTCACTAATGAGGTAAATTTAAATCTTAACAAGTTGAGATAAAATAAAAATTGAAAATTTTACGTAATAATCATATTCTCGATTCTTAACGAACAAATTTCAGCTTGACTTATCAATTACATGTGCTTTAAACGAGTTTGAGTTCGTGCCGACTATGAACTTACAAGCTGAATTATTTTATTTTTTCAACAACTTTAATTTGGGCATCAATTTATTTTCAAATTCTTATAGTGTTTAGGTTTGTTTTGTGTTTGCAAGAAACAATGTTTCAAGAATTAGGGTAATGTGGTACTTCCATTAAAGTAGCCTGCACAATCACTTTAGTTTTAAGCTTTTTGACCTTCAACTTTCAGTGCCTTGAAGCTTGGTTTTCTAGTTACACGTTTTCTTTTCTTATTATTACTTATTAGTGTGTAGGTCTTTGCCTTCTTGGTAGCTCATTTTTTTCCTCATATCCACATTCCAATTTTTAGAGTTCTAACTATATGAATATTTTGTTTATATATATATATATTAACTCAAAATCCAATTCAAATGTAATTCTATACAATACTTGTTAATATTATTAATATAATTAAATAGTATCATTCAATCATCCTCCCACATCGCATTACTTTAATTCACTATTTACTCACTTATATATTTTTCACTATGTATCATTTATAATAACCTCTTTTTCACTTTTATCTTCGACTATAATTATCACATATTAAATACAATTCTCCACTCAATAAACTTGATTCAAAATCAGATTCACCTAAACTACTTAATTATGATGTGTTAGTAATTTGATTTTATTGATTTTGAAGTTAAAAAAATATATATATTTATGGTGTTTAAAGAATTCAATTTAGAAACAAAAAAATAGGGCAAAATAAAATAAAATAAAAACAAAGAGAGTACTGTGTGGGAGCATGAGATGGTGATGATTTTAAATTGATTCTCTCACTTTCATTTGGCCCTTTATTGGTATTCCCATCCAATCCCATTGGCTGTTTACTTAGCAAGAAAGGTTGCTCGGGACACGTGTCTTTAATTCATGCCATAAGTGTAAAAACAATACTAATAATTACGGACCAGATATTTGTGCACCAAACCTAATGTGGTAAGTAAGAGGTTGGATGAATTCATATAGTAAAAAAATAGTAGTAGTTTTTTTAACTATAATTAAGTTTGAAAAAAAAGTAGTATGGTTAGTTGTTAGTAGATATATTAAAATAATATTTAA